CCACCGGCTCTGCTGCCACTCCCTCATGTCTTTATGTTGGATCACAACCAGGCCACCAGTTCATCACCAGCCTTATAGAGCTGCACTGGCTCCTCTGGACAACAACCCACTTATGCTTTCTCTCTTTGCACCTTAAAATTTTTTTTCATCTTTTTGAGACAGGGTCTCCCTGTAGCCCCAGCTGTCCTGGAACTCACTATGTAGACCAGGCTGGCCTCGAACTCACAGAGATCTGCCTGCCTCTGCATCCCAAGTGCTGGTAATAAAGGCGTGTGCCACCATGCCTGGCCTGACCTCTGGTCTGCACATGTACCTGCACATACACATGTACTCACACACACAAACGCATACATACCCTCAAAAAAAGAAAAAAAAAAACACCAAACAATATTTATTATCTCAAAATAACTTAGAAATATAATATAAAAAGGAAACGCTTGAAACCATCCATTAACTCACTACTCATAGATAGCAATTTAACATTTGGTGATATTTCCAAGTATTGCCTAATTTTTTGAGGCAGGTACGTGTACAGACCAGAGGTCAACATTGGGTGTCTTCCTCAATTGCTTTCCACCATATTTCTTTGGTGGCATTTTGACACATGGTCTCTCACTACACCAGGCACTCACTGACCAGCTAGATTCCCTGACCAGCAAACTCCATGGGCCTCTTGGTGTCACCTCCACATGCTGGGATTAAAGGTACTGCCCTGTCCCACATTTTTATATGCTCCAGTTCCTTGTTTGCTCAGTAAGTACTATACTGACTGTGGCATATCCCTAGCCCTCGGGTATTACTTCAGAAAAATTATGAAAAAAGGCCCCAAACCAAGAGTTTCTACCACTCAAGGGTGTAAGATGTCCTACGAACATGCCAAGGCTTCACAGACACTGTATAATTCTTGTGCAAAGACCCAGTCTTGCACCTGAGAAAATGTCTGCTGAATATATATATTTCACTTGGCAGCGTTTGGAAACTGCTTATACGCTTCACATGATATATGGGAAAGACAAGCACTCCTGACATCAGTGAGTACTTGAGGTTGTACTATGTGAAAGAACCAACACAGGCCCTATTTTCAAACTCTTAACAGTTAAAACATTAAAACAGAATATCCTGTAACAAAGGCAAAACTGTAAATCTCTAAGGAAAAGGGAGCGATCCCAAATATGTGAGGGCGATGTTGTTTTAAGAAGGGGCTGCTGCCTAAGCCAAGCTGTGGTGGTGGATGAGTTTGCTGGGGAGATGTTGGAGGTAGCAGAACCCAAAGGAACTGTCCCCTTCAGGCAGAAGTTAGGGGGTGTTTGGTCCCCTAGGAACCACAGGACTGGGGAGCTGGGAAGGTCCTAAGCTCATTGTGTACCAAGATCACCAGTGTTTTCAACAGTGAAGAACTTTATGTAATTAGCTTTGCAAGGGAACCATTATTTTGAAAAATTTTGGCACAAAATAAACTGGTCATTAAATAATAGCTCTAAATTTTGATTAATCACAGAAATCTGCCCTTGAGTTTCTGGTTAATCTATGATATGATGAGGCACTGAGTTGTTTTCTTAGCCACAAGTAAAGAAAGGTGTATGTGGTCATGTTTGAACTAGAATTTTGTTAGACTGTGGTGGCTTTCTGGAAATCTGGGAGCCATCATCCAACTTGAATGTTACACAGAGCCAAAGTTGGGACCACAGTGGGTATTTGACTTGGGTCCTGATTCTGCTGTCTTCTTCTTGACTCTGGACAAGTTATTTTATTTAATCTCCTTAAGGCTAACTTCTCCCCCCCCCCCCAAACATGGAATCTCCTGAGTATTTTGAAGGTGACGTTAATGGTGTGTGGAAGCAGTAGCACAACGTTTACTTCTTTCTCCATTTCTTAAAATGACCGAAGTGCTGCCAGACACGATTTAAATACAGCTTCTGGATCCATGGAGACCTGTTGAGAACTTCCTCTTTCATGGTCAAAAAACCACATTTATTAGATCCTAACTAGATGAACTGCTTAATGAAAGAACTCTCCAGAGTCCTCCCTGTTTCTTTATATCCTTGGTTAACTCTAACTTTTAATCAGGTCCAAGAGCAGAGGCAGATAGGAGCTTTATTTGAAAACACTGAGAGCTGTTGAATTTGTTGTTTTAGTAGATTTAGGCTACACCCCCCCACCCCCAACAAAACAAATATCCTTAGTTCAAGTGGAAGGAGGAATCTGCGCTTGTCCACACAGCTATCATTTATTTATTTTGTTTATGAATAAATTTACAGGAAATAAAATGGCTCTTCTATTATTTTTACTACCTAAATTTTCTGAATCTGATTTTAGGATTCTGCCACATTTTATTCTACCCAAATCCTGAGTTAGGAAAGAATAATTCCAGTTGCAAGTTGAGGGCAAAAGTCTTTGCGGTTCAAGAGAACTTTATGTGTAATTTGTATGACTCTAGTAAATAATCTTTTCAGGAAGATTTCCGTTGTTTGGGAAGTTTCCGTTGTTTGGCATACCAGCAGACTTTAATTATCTGAATGAATGCTCACAAACAGGAGCAGTTGAGCACCATCTGCTTCATTGGTTTTACAGCAAGTAAGCCTACAAGTTTGTGGATAATGTGAAGCCTTTTCCGGTCTCTCATCACAGAAATGAAAGGTCCTGGGGGACCTTCTAGAGCTAGATAAACTCCAAGTACCTACCAGTTCTAACCAAATTTGCATTACAATCTGTGAGTGGAAGTTGGAGAAGATAAACAGCATCTCTTCTTTTGATGAGGATTGTAGTTACCCCAAAACACCAGTTTTCCAAATAGAAAATGGTTCTCAAGAAGAGGGTATTTGCCATTTTCTGCAGAAATGTCATACTTTTATCCTGGCATTACATTTATATATGTTTTTTAGGAGAATAATTTGATGATTTGAAATGTTCTATGTGAACATTATACAATGTGGTTGGTTATTTTTGTCAGAAAACATTTGTTCACACAGTCTCAGGATAACAATCCTATTTGTGGTGGTTGTCCACATAGAAATACTTAGGCCAGAGGTACACATTCCAAGTTAAAGGACAAAATAATTACTCTCCTTTTAGTCTTCATGCATGAGCAAATATAATGAGAAAAGTAAATATCTGCTTGAAGTGTCACCATGGACAGGAAGTTCTGTGGCAAGTTCATACAACCAGTAATCATTTGTGTCTAATAGTTTAAGTTCACATTTAAAATTTGAATATTTTATGTATCTTGCACATAATTAGCTTTCCTCCAAATTTCTTTATATATCTATATTGATATATTTTTACAAAAATAATTATACCCCCCCAAACAAATAACCCTTTCCTTATTAGAAAGTACTGTTTCAAGAAGTCACACTTGCTAAGGAGCAGCCTCTGCCTCCCCTGAGATCTTCACAGCTGCCTGAAACTCTGCCCTTCCACCACCCTGGTGGTGTAGTTACCCCAGAACTGCCTCCTCCAGCACCTGGCTACTCTGAGAAGACCACCATTTTCCTCTCCTGTAAGCACCAAGCGTTAGGGTTATCATCGATTTTTTTGGCCTTTCTTTTCTATATTCCTGCCACCTGGAGAAATCTAACCTTATTCTCCTGAGCAAGATGCAATTTATTCCCTACCACTGATCCAAATCCTATTCTTGTTCATTCCATTTAATGTAACTTGGCTTCCTATCACTTTGAATTTCCTTGGCTCTTGTGTATAATCTGAATATGTGATCTCGAAGCCTTTGATTGTTGTTTTAGATGTACCATCTTTCTTAGATATAAAGCTCTCAAAACAGACTCATTCAGGAGTTCTAGTAGAAGTATACACTTCTCATATATAAACCTCATTGAACCCATGTCTTTAGCAAACCACTTATGCTTGCTTTCTCTCTCCTCCATATGGGAATAATAATAGAATCTACCTTAGCCTAGTCTCAAGAGCATTATGAGATCAAGTAACATGTATGGAGAGCATTTATATACTACGAGGGGCTATACAAATGGCAGTAAGGTTTTACCAGTTCATACATTAGAAACTGCATCAAAGAAAAACACTGCATTTCTGTACAACCGTGGCTGTGTCCCTGCTGTCAGCTACCAACGGTTCAAGCCTTATGCTTGCTATCTTCCACATGAACTGTGCAAATGAAATTACAGAAGCCTAGATGATTATTTGACTATATGGAAATATTACTTATATTTAGATGCATTTGTGAGCATCATTTCTACAGTAAAAATTTATACCATTTTTAGTTAGAAAACAATTATTTTATTATTTTATTTTTTATCTTTTTGAGACATGATCTCCCTGTAGCCCCAGCTGGTCTGGAACTTGCTATGTAGACCAAGCTGGCCTTGATCTTACAGAGATCTACCTGCCTCTGCCTCCCAAGTACCGGGATTAAATGTGTGTGCCACCACATCTGTCGTGAAGAATTGCTTTATACATACACATATTAAATTGGCTAGATGACACATCATTATATCTATGTGAAGTTATTCCTAATTTCAAGTTCCTTTGTATATACATATATATTATGTATTACATTTTTGACACAGGGTCTCATTATATAGACCAAGTTGGCCTCCAACTTGAGATGATCCTCCTGTCTGTTTCCCAGGTGCTGAGATGACAGGCGCGTGTTACCACACCTGACTTCCTTTTAATAGCTATCTATATTTCTAAACTTTTCTTCAATAAACTTATTCTGGTTTTATAATTTGAAAAAAATCTGAAAAGATAATTAATCCAATTTAGTCCATTCTGTGAGCACTGGCATTGTCTACTAGATGCCATTAAACATTAAAGTTTTGACATTTTGGAACTTGGAAAGTTTAGAAACTATCATAATGGGGTTTGCTCATCCTTCTAGAGGTAAACTGAAATGCGTTGTGGTTCTCTGCTGCCTCTAAGAAGCTGTGCTTAGTTCAGATAAATTGCTTTATGTGAAATGAACTGAAAATACTAATATGGAATGCATAAAATGCCCTATTTTATATATTTATTTTATCACTTCCTAGTTTTGGACACTATGTGGAAATGCCCTGACTGCAAAAAGAGGAATATTTGGCAAAACAGGAGATCTTCAGACCATCCTTTGCCTTGCATGTGCCAAAGAAGACATCACCTATTCTGGTGCTTTAAATGGCGACATCTATGTCTGGAAAGGGCTCAACTTAGTCCGCACTATTCAAGGAGCACATAGTGTGAGTATCACCACAGAACTTCGGGATGAGCTATTGAATAAATGAAGGTATCATGTGTCTGTATTTTCCTCCTTTGCGTTGGAGTTAGAATACTTTATGAACACTTGTAAAACACTCATTCCGAAATTATTGTTGTTATCTGAAAGAACAACATTTCAAAAGCATACTAATTATTATTTACTGCAACTGTTCATTAGCTAATACATGTCATTCATCAGTAATACTTTGATATGAAACTGGGAAATTTTGTTGTCATTTTCATATTAGACCAGCCCTTCTCAAATTATAACATGCCTGATAATAATCCCAGGAGGGATCTTGTTAACTTGCACAGTTTGCCTCAGTGGGATGATTGTTGCTGCTGCCTCTGCTTTGTAGCCAGTAGTTGGTCTAGAAAGGGTGTGGGCAGTTGTTATTTTATGCTGGTTGGGTGAGTGTCCTTCACTCTGTTTTGGAGGTGCTGGAGCATTACCTCCAAGTCAGTAGTTATAAACGGCTACTTGATCTACTGTCAGGATTTCAATAAAAAACAAAGCATCTGTTTTATTTCTGTTTTGCTTCGTTTTTTAATTACCAAGATTCAAAAACAATGGCTTTGTACAATGATTTCAGGGTTGAGTGTTGCCTCTCTCATCAACAGGCTGGAATCTTTAGCATGTATGCTTGTGAAGAAGGCTTTGCCACTGGTGGGCGAGATGGTTGTATACGATTATGGGATACTGATTTCAAACCAATAACCAAAATTGATCTCAGGGAGACAGAACAAGGATATAAAGGTATGTATACTTACCCATATACTCCAAGGATGTTATATACAACACATATTTTTGTATTTTTGTTTAAGAATATATATTATATAAAATATTATATATATATATATATAATTTTAAGGCCTATTGAGTCAAATTTCTGTCCCCAAATGCTCTTTGGTGTGGGTCCATCCACTGGAGCCTGATTAACCTACCCAGAGTCACACCCTTGAAGAAGACTGCTCTCCCCCTCCCAGTAGCTATCAGTTGCCAATAGTTCCTCAGCTAGGGTTAGGGCTTCTTACCCATTTCTCCTCTTCAATCCTGGGATTTTTGTCTGGCTTGAGCTTCTGTGGGACTTGAGTATACTGTCATCATTGCTGTGAGTTCTTATGACTAACTTCTCAGCTATCTAGAACTCTATTCCCTTGTGGTCATCTACCCCTCTGGTTCTTACAATCTTTCTGCCTCCTCTTCCACAGAGATCCCTGAAGCCTTGAAAGGCAGAAATTTGATATAGGTGTTGTATTTAGAGTAAAACACTCTGCAGCCTCTTAATCTCTGCATGTTGGCCAGTTGTGGGTTTCTGTGTTAATCTGCATTAATCTATGTGTATAAGAATAAGTCATTAGGAGGTGGTTTAATACTATATCTATTTAGCAGAATAATAGTAGTAGGTTCTCCCCTATGGCCTGTGACTTGTCAGGTACAGGATTCTAGGCCTGATATCAGTGTCAGGTGTGGGCTCCATCCTGTGATATGCACCTGAACTATAATCAGAAAGTTGTTGGTTACCCCCTCACATTCGTGTCACTATTATACCAGTGGGTATATATTGCCAGGCCAGTTATTGTTGTAGCTCACATATCATATCTGCTTTCTGTATTTACCTTATTCTATAAAAACTTTAAGGATTTACATAAGTATATTGAATATACTTATATCAAAAGTATGTAGAAAATAAGTAGGTATCTTTTCTCTGACTTGGCATAAAGATGCCTGCATGGGGCTGCAATGGTCCTGCAGCAAAAGGAGATTATAGTAAAGCTGCCGAGTGGCCACCTGGGAGATGGGCTTTTCAGTGGTAAATTTTAAGACTTTGTGGATACGTTAGTCACTAAATATGAGTATGCCAAGCTTTTGAAAACAAATAAATGATAGGAAAAGGGTCACAGGCAATTATTCTTTTTAAATTGCTTTAAAGTAATAGCTGTCATGGCATAGGGGTTAAGACTATGTCAGGGCTGGTGAAATGGCTCAGGAGATAAAGGCACAGCACGTGCACAAATAAATGTTAAAAATAATACAAAGTTGGAGTTAGGGAAACTGGATTGATAACCAGGTTTTAACTTATGCGTCCAGACCGTTACCGGTTTTCTAACACACCCTTGACCTTCTGTTTCCTCACCTATAATGGGAGGGTAACACTAGCACCAACTTCAGAGTTGTGTGGCTATTAAATATTCTTGCAGAGTGCTAAGGAAAAATCATGTTTATAAATATTAGTTATGATTACAATACACCAAGTGTGTGGATAGTGGTACAAAGTAGATTATAAACATCTTTTCAAGTTCTTTGAATATACTTACTGTCTTTTATAGGTAATTAATTTGAAGTTCAGAGAAATTAGAAATTGTAAATAGGAAAGATCGGTTGAATCATAATGATGGTTGTACTGGAAGCACAGGTGGACCCCACACCAGGTCCAAGGCTTCTCCGCCAGTGCTTAGCAAGGATTCTCACCATCATGAGTCACAGGGTCCACAAGTGAAAGCTTAACCTTATTTAGGTGATGAGAAAGTCATTTTTGGTTCTAAGCTCAAAGAGAAATTTCCCGAGGGTGTTCTTAGAGACAACCCTGTGACATGAGGCCCACAGTCCTCAAAAGGCCTGAAGTGAGTTACTACTCATCAGGTCTTTATCATGGAGTCCTTGTGTGCTCTGATGCTATCACTGCCACACACATGCTGTAGGTCAAGTCTAGTAGCCATGTGCAGCACTCTGTGCTGGCTGGGGTAGACTTCAGAGGACAGCGAGAGAAGAAAACATGGACTCTGTATCCTTCAAGGCATCTTCTTTAAACAGTGCTATTCTCAATCAAACCTTATTTAAAATTTAGCTGAGAGGTGACCTGAATATTGTAATTCATTTTGTGCCATCAGCTTTTTTATGTTCCCATTCACTATAAAAAGTGTATCACAGCTCTTGTGGAAATTGGACTGGTACCTTCTTTTAGGCTCTGTGGATACATTTCTGAATACCGGGGATAGGAAACTCATAGGAAGTTGTAGAATGCAGTTTCCAGGACAGGGCCAAGGTCCTTAAATATGGTTTATAATAAAGTATGGTATTGTGTAACTTTATCTGGAAAAATATTTCAAATAGATATAAGCAAGTTACTTTTCTGTTGCTGTGATAAAATACATGACCAAGGCAATTTATAGAGGGAAGAATTTATTTGCCTACAGTTCCAGAGGGAGAGTCCATAATGGTGGGGAAGACATGACAGGAGGCAGGGGGAACAGGAAACTGAGAACTCACATCTCCAGTAGCGGGGGGTGGAGGGGACACAGAGTAAGACTAGTCTATGAATACTCAAAGCCCACTCTCAGTGACATACTTCTTCCAGCAAGGCAACACCCCTAAACATCTGAAAACAGTAACACCAACTGGGGACCAAGTGTTCAAATACTTGGAGCCTATGGAGGATATTTCTCATTCAAACAACCATGGGGATATGAAAATAAACAGAAGCAAGTTGTAAAGCAAGTTGTTTGACTTTGAAACTTCTTGGTGTGTCCTTCAAGACATAAACTAGGAAAAATATATGTACTTAGATAGCTAATGAGTTAATTCATAGGTGGGATGATTGCTCATAAACTGAATAAATGCTGGGGAGCATCAACTTGAAATGATGACTCTCTTTTAACAGTCACATCATTTAGTTCATTCAAAAACAATTACATAATTAAGACATAATATTTAAGGAATGGGGAGGGAACAGGCCATTATGAACTTACCTTGCTACACTTTTTTTTTTCTCTTTGATTTATTTATTTTTTTTTATGGGGATTTTGGCTACTCTAACATTCCCCCCTCTGAAGAGGTAACACTATAATCTTTTAAGGATTAGATAAAATCTCCCAAATATTTTGACAGTATTGGCCTTTGGAACAGAGTATGTTGCTAAGAGGCCCAAGGACATTGTGAGTTTTAGCCAAGAAACTGGCTACTTTTCTTTGGGGTCTTTTTTACCTTACCTGCCTAGCCAATTCCTACCTCCTATTCTTATCACGCTATCCTCTGAAGAGGTTATCCAAATTGCCGATAGGGAATCGGGACGCAGACCACTCTGGCTTCTTCCATGCTGAACAGGGACGCAGGATGAGGCAATTGGAGTACCCCTTCAGTGGGTCTACCTAAAAGACTCCCAAATTGCATAACTCTTATCTCTAGGGGGAAAAGAAAGTCCTAGAATCATGACTAGGAGATGTGAAGGAGAAGTAAAGACAAGAGTAATTACCATTACAAGTTCTAGACAGGAACTAGAAAAAAGAACAGGGCAATTTTCAAATGTTCATATGAGAGTCCATTGGAATTTCTTGACAAGGGCTTCCAAAAGCATCCCTCTATTGGGTTCCTCCTCATTTTTCTTTTGTCTTCCAAGTCTGGACTCTAGAGTGATGGATTCAGGTATTTTGATAGCTGTTGGAGTGGTTAAAATCAGTGTCAGTTCCCTCTCAAGGGCTTCTAGATAGGTGGAGAAAACAAATTTATCCACCATTTTAGAACAATAGCTGGTTGTCTCCCTTACCTACAGGTGGGCACTACAGTATTGGAGACCAAGATTTGAAGTCTTACATCTGAGCAGCACTTTCTGGTTAGGAACAAAATCAATGAGAAATAATTGCCTACATAACTTTTTATATGGACTTAAGCCTAATGTCTGGGAAGTGTAATCTCTTGAACTCTTGAAGAAATATACTGATGATTTTACTCTTTGGTAACACTTTCCTTTTTGGTGTTTAAGACCATAGAGTTGGCCCAAATAGAGGATCTGTTCCTCAGGGGTCACATGGGCTTAGGAGGAGCCCCTGGCTCCTTTCTTTTACCAGTTCCATGTATGTGAAGATAAGTCAAAGGTCCTGCTCGACCATGTCTGCCTTTACTTTGAAGCATGAATGAGATGTTTTCTCTGAGTTGACCCTCCTCTTTGTAGACTGGACACTGGTTCAAGTCCATCTCGTGGTGTCTCCATGGCCTCCCTGAACAAGAGGACAGGTGACTCACCACAGTTACAGGATATTTTGAGAAATGTTCTATAGTCCCCTGGAACTCAGTCAACCTTGGAGGGCAAAGGGCAAAAATTGTCCTTTAAGTTCCTCTGACCACATTAGTATAGGCCTCAAACTATGGCTGTTAAATATCCAATAAGGTTAGTTCTACCAGTCTGGTACTTTTAATTATCATGTACTATGTAGATAAGGCTTGGGTAGAAAACCAACTATTCTCAGATAAACCTTGACTAGATATATATTTTGTTCCTTAAACTAGTTGACTAAACTATGACCATAGAAAATTTAAGATTATGTCTCTTAAATATGTCTCAAATATGTCTTAAATATGTCTCATCCTTTATATATCATAACAAACCTAAACAGACCTTTATCACTTGCTTAGGCTTTCTTATTTTTTCTGTATATTTTGGAAAATATCTTCATTCCCATATCCTTTTAACGTCTTTTATAGTCTCATTTTCTTTTTTTAAAAAAATAATTATGAGACATAATAGCATTAACAAATTTTCCATCTGTTGTGAGACTTCTTTTCCTCGGGATGCTAAGCAAGGTTTATTCCCTTTTAAAGTTTTAGTGTCAAGCCAATGTTTGATTAAAGTTTTACTGGGAAACCAATGAATTTATTGAGCTTACTTATCGAGATAACTGAGGGGTTGCTGAAGTGTACCTGTGACCTGAGGGTTTGCACACTGGAAAGCCTTTACCCAGCATAGGTCATGCCTTCTCTTC